CCTCTCTTTCCCTGTCAGCAGTTCACAGACTCATCAGAGTAAAGCTTTTCTCAGATTCATTTTGATTTATGTATCTCCCCAATCTACATCTCCAGTCCTGAACTCTCTCTCTCTGAACTTTAGCTTCCTGGATCCAGCTTCTTGCAAAACACCTCCTCTTGGCTGACTCCAGGCACATCAAGTATAACACCCCCGAAATGTAGCTCTTTTCTAAACTTGTATCTGTGTCTCCATTCTTGGTGAATGGTGTCCATTCAGTCACCCAAGGCAATAACCTGGGAGTCATCCTAAATGCCTTCCATAACACCAGGACTTAGCTAATTTACCTCCTATGCTTTTGTCCAGTCTGTCACCATCCCTCTGTCTCTACTCCACATGTGGGCCAGCAGCTGCTCTTCCTGGACTAGGACAGTAGTCTGCTGATTGGTCTCCCAACATACAGTCTTCTTTTTCCTCACAAGCCGTCCCTCCTCTCCTACACTCGCCAGGGTAATCTATCTAAAGCACAGTCTGACCATGTCGCTCGCCTGCTTAAATTTCAGTAGCTTTCCCGGATGAATTTCAAACTTCTTGACATGGTAGGTAAGGCCCACCCCTACTTCTTTAGCTCCACCTCTAGCGTGCTCTTTAACTCTGTCTTATGCTCTGATGATACTGTTTGTAGCTTCCTGTATACTAGACTATTCATGCCTTGGTTTTCCTTTGCCTGAATGCCCTCTTTACCTGATTAATGCCTGTTTATCCTTTGAGTCTGGGAGCCATCTCCTCCAGAAAGTCTTCACTGAGCCCCTAAACTGTGTTGAGTGCCCCTTATTTGTGCTCCCATGGCACCTCATACGTACCTCCCTCATACTAAAATGATGTTTCTATGTCCGGTCTCGTCCACCCCCCCTCAGCCTGTAAACTCTGAGAGTAAGATGAGGCCCTTGGCCTTGGTGACACCACACCCAGCACAGTGATTAGAACGGACAAGGTGTTGAGTATGTTTGCTGAGCCAAACTGAAGAAAATGGGATGTGGCGGAGGGGTTGCCTTGAAGATGCGCTTTCGTATCCCTTTGTTCCCTAAAAGGCCCATATCCCTGGGTGTGGAGCCTGTTGCCCTTGGTCCTGAGAGAATGGAGTGCATGATGATAGGATGGCGTGATTTTCCTAAAGCAAAGTGGGAAAATTCCCAGGATGGTGAGTTTTAAACAACATTCTATTCTCTCCAGCCCTGGCAAAAAGCAGGTTCTTCCTTTGGTCACCACTGACAAATGTTTGATTGACTTGGGGATGGTCCAGGGCTACCCTGGCTTTATCTGGGGGATTGGGGAGAGGTACTACACAAAAAATAGCCTAAAGCTTGAGGATGTTTGTCATTTGTTCCAAGCTCTCTGGCTGTCTTACCTGGTCCCAGGTATCCAGGAGCATCACGTCATCTGGGTTCAGGTCATCCTGGGTGAAGTCTGTGATCTCAGTAACAATGAACCGGCCAGTCTTATTGGAACATTCAAAGAGACGGGACTGGACATCTAGGATTTCCTGCTGTAGTCTGCAATACAGTCCATTTAGTAGAGGAACTGAGCTGCTTAGAAATCATGTGCAGTTCACAAGTCTGGTAGGCAGGGGGAGCCAAGAGGAGGGGATGCTGTGGTCCTGTACCTTTTGTCATTGGCATAGGGAGTTTTTCCTCCCAGCAGGTCCCAGAACTCAGCTGGCTCCTGGCCCTCAGCCACTGTGTTCTCGGTGCCATCACAGAGAAGCCCCGCCAGCTCCTTAGCCATGGCCCGCTCATCTCCACTAGACCCCTGAGAGTGGGGTGGGGAGAACACAGATGTTAGCTGCACACAGGCATGTTGATGTGGGAAAAAAGTGTCTGAGACTAATAGCTCAGTGCAGCCAGGATCATCTACCAAGCCACAGTACCTCAGGACGGGGAGATAGATAGGTTTGTTCTGGTGCTGGGAAGGGCAGGGGGCAAGGGGCGGGGGCACGGAGGAAAACGGTGGTGGCAAAGGACAAGACTAAACTCTGAAACCCACAGTGGATATTGACAAGTCACCTTTGTTTTGCTTCCAGTTGGAATTTTAGCACCTACTTTTGACTATTTTTTAAGAGAAAATTTAAGTGTATTATAAAAATTATATACAGAGAAATTCACTCTTTTTGCCGTAGAGTTCTATGACTCCTGATGAATGCATAGAATCATGCTACCACCACCACAACAAAAATAGAACAGTCATCTCACCACTGCAAAAAATTCCCTCGGGCTACCTACCCCTTTGTAGTCAAACCCTCCCTGAATCCTTAACCTCTGGCAACCACTGATCTGTTCTCCATCATGATAGTTTTGCCTTTTCCAGCATGTCATAAATGGAATCATGCACTATGTAGCCTCTGTGCTAGTGCACTGTGCACTTAGCATAATGCATTTGAGATTCATCCTTGCAGTTGTGGGTATCAACAGCTTGTTTCTTTCCATAGCTGAGTAGTATCCCATTGTATGGATGCACCGCTGTTTGTTTATCCATCCTCCAGTTGGTTTGCTTCCAGTTTTTGGTGATTACAAATAAAGGTGCTATAAACATTTGTGTACAGGTTTTTGTGTGAAGATAGTTTTTTATTTCACATGGGTACATACCCAGGAATGGGGTTGCTGGGTCATACGGTAAGTGTATGTTTTATAAGAAACTGTCAAATTGTTCTCCAAAGGCCATATTTGCATTCCCACGAGCAGTGTGTGAGAATTCCTGTTGCTTTGCATCCTCACCAGCACTTGATATTATCTTTTTTTTTTTCAGTCATTCTAATAGGTGTGTAGTGGTATCTCATTGGGGTTTTCATTTGCATTTCCCTAATGACTAATGATGTTGAGCATCTTTTCCTGTTCAATTCTCTTTTGCAAAACAATTTTAGTGCTTTTTAATGCAGATGCAATTTAAATTACAAAAGTCACATTTTTAGTGTTTTTGTTCAGTGTTCATGGCCGTCCTGTTACAGTCCACCAAACTGGTGTGGAAAGATTGACTTATCCAGCCTGCATCCAGCCTCCATGTGTTTAGAGGTTTATGGAGGGTCTCCTGGATGTAAGCAGTGTGTTAGTGAGTTTCTAATTGGAGGCCTAATTGTGGGGAACATTGTCAGTCCCTTTGAAGATCCTTTAGGAAAAAGGTTCCTTTTTTTGAGGACTGCTCCAGCCTACTCTTCAGTTCCTTTGCCCTTGCTGACAGGAGGGTTGGTGCAGGGCTGGGCTGTGAGGGGCTGGTATGACCACTGGGCCAGCCATCCTACCTTGCCATACCACAGGTAGTGCTCTGCCTGGGTCCGCAGCAGAAAGACATCATTGGAGTTTAGGGAGGAGGTGAAGGCTGGAACCTCCACCGCTTTGGTGTTAGATTTGTCATTTCCTTGAATCTGGAAGAGCCTTACCGGAGGATCGGGCTCGGCATTTCCCTTCCTGGAAGTCCCACCCTAGAGAGGGAGAAAAGCAGCGTCTGGAACTAAGGTACACCACGTGCGCCGGGCACTGGGCTAGCATTGTGGAGAACATGGATGTGTTTGACACCGTCTTTGCCCTCGAGGAGCGTCTAGGCTAACTGGGAGAGGTTGAGTTGAGCTGGAGTTATGGTACCAATAGTAGCTTTCATTATGAGACCTTGGTTATATGCCAGGCTCTTTGCTGGTGCCTCATCTACATCATTTTATAGATCCTCATAATAACTTTGCGAAGTAGGTATTATTATCCCACAGTGCAGATGGGGAAACAGGCTTAGAAACTTGGCTAATAAATGACAAGACTAGGACTTGACCACAGACTTATGTATATCAAACATGTGACCTTATACATTCCTGGTAGTGCTTCAGCCAGGGCTTCATGGAAGAAATGGAACTTGAATCTGAAGGGGCACATTCTCTGGGGGAGGTGGACAGGTAATGATATGGCACATGTGAGGTCTAATGAAGACACCCACCTGCCTGGAGTGGAGTGTGTAGGCTAGGGAGCTGAGGGTGATGCGCCTGCACAGGTAATATGGGTCAGATTATAAAAGACCTTGAATTAGGCAGTGGTTTGGACTTGAAGCCCTAGGCAGTCGGGATTCACTTCAGCGTCTTAGAGAGATGCACCCTCTTCCTGTCTATGTCTTCCCCAAGCCCTGCTCTCTACCCCTCCTCTCCCCTGCTGTAGTCTCCTGCTGACCTGCTGGTTCTGAGCATTCTGCTTATGGTATAATTTTATCTCAGGGCTCTCACCTCAAAGATAACCAGCTTTCCTTTGAAGATGGCCATGAAGTGGCGTGGCTCCTTCCCCATGGTAACCCGAACCTGCACAGGGGCCCCATCAAACTGCCGGTCCACCTCCACCGCCTGGTGTGCCGAGGCTGCCAGCTCATCCTGTGAGGCGTGACGGCCCTGTAGTGGTGAGCGGGTGCAATGGGTCCCTGCTACCCCCCTGGCCCTAGCTCAGTGGCCAGAGGAGGCACCAGGATCCAAAGCTGAGAGGCTGCCCCAGGCCTACCTGCCAGATGTACAAGATGTAGTGCGGCTTCCCGTGCATCTCGTACGTATAGAGAACCAGATAGCAGTCTCCCCCATAAAAGAAGCCATACCACTCATGCTCCACGGGGACCAGCTCCAGGTTTTCAATTCTCCAGACCTAGGCATAGAAGGAGACACAGTTCCCCAGAGATGGGAGTCCTGTGAAGAAACAGCTACCTGGAGGGAACTGGGCCATGCTTAGCAGAGAATACAAGTGGGTGAGGCACTAACGTCCATTCAAAGTACACCTTCCCCCTCTGGTGGTGAGGGCTTATCATATTTGCATGATTTGAATCCCAAGAACTGGATTGTCCCTGGTCAGATGCATCCCCATCATGGCTCAGAGATGATTTGAATATGTCTGCCAGGTGAGTTATTGATAGCACACTGGAGTATCTACCTTTCACTTCCGTGAAGAATTGTGGGAAAACCCTGCAGACTCAGACACCTCTTTGAATAGACCTGAGGTGCCAGAGGTGGAAAGGAAAGCAAAGCAGACACGGAATCACGCGTCCCTTCTGTACAGCAGAGCAGCCAGGAGGGCCGGTGCTGCTGCCTGCCCTGGGATGTGGGTCACTGGGCTTACCTCAACGTTGCCATTGCCGTCGTCGACCATTCTTTCCTGGGCTGCCACCTCTGGTTTGGTGTGCAGCAGAGTCACATCAAATTTATCCTGGAAAACGTTAGCTGCACGGAAGGGGTTGGGAGAAGCCAAGTGAGTAAAAAGCACCTGTGCCTGCCTTTCTACAGAGTCCCGGCAGTGAAAACACCATCTGGGGGCAATCTTACCGATTTTACCAATGCTGAACGTTTTCCCCAGACCCACAGTCTGTTCCTTCACTGACCACTTCTGGAACAGCTGCTTGAACATGGCTGACTCGGCACCGTCACTGACAGTCTCCACGTTGGTACTGCTGGGGTAGCCCTTCATCTTGATGAAGTTCTGCGGGTGCCCCCCCCACCCCCCCGAAGGACAGGTCAGTCCAGGAGTGCACTGGGCTCTTGACTTGGCTGGTGATTCAACCCTGTGAAGCCAGTTGGTAGGACTGTTCCCTTCTGGGAGTCAGAGTCAAATTCTAACTCACTTCTGTCTAGGGACCAAGTTACCTGCCTCAAGGAAAGGACTGAGTAGTCCTTTCATTGGCCTGTCATGATTATTACTGATTTTTTTTTTTTTTGTAAGATCCTCTATTCTGTGTTCCTTCAGCACTCCTGTACTGTACTGACTTTGTATCACCTTCATTTGCCCCTTTTTTGCTTTGTAAGTGCATCCTGCCTGGTTCATCTGCATGGGTCTGCACAATGTCATAAGCTCCTTGAGGACAGGGCCATTGACCTTGATATGTGATATCTCCTTCAATAAGAACAGCTACCTTTTACTGAGCAGGTGTGTGTGCCAGGTATTGTTCTGAGTGCTTTATAAGTGTTACTTAATCCTCACAACAACCCCAGGAGATGGCATTAAACCTGGATTTGAATCCCAGTTTGTCTGTCTGACTTCGAAGTTATGTATGTAACTGCGATGTTCTATGCTCTGGTGCCTAGTATGGCTCTCTGAGCACATCTGATGTGTTATGGACAGAATTTTTTGGACAATATTGCACATCCATAGCTCCTACCAGAGCTTTAGACATGGCCATCTGTTTCTCAACCTTTGTGGCTCCTCTTCCTTTCCACACATAGATCTTGGTTCCATTTTGGTCCAGGATGTAGCAGTCCTGAAGCAGACGGTCAGAGATAAAAGTGGTTACTCCTGCCCAAGACCATGAGGAAGGCCTTTCCCTAGGGTCTGCCTCTGAAGCCAGGTCTGGCTACCCCAAGCCAAGCCCACCCAAGCTCTACTTACATCATGGTTCAGTAAGCCCTGGACCAGAGGCCTCGTTGCTACATCTGTGACCACCAGCTGCCCAGCTGAGTCTGAGACACTAGAGAAGGGGAGAGGTTAGCCTGTACCTTCTCTTCTACAAAGCATCCTGTAGTCAATCTGATATTTCACGGCTTTGTCTTAGAATGGAGTTTCTGGGTAGAGTTCAGCTTCTTGCGACAGGCATGGCTTGAATGCAGACAGGAATGTGATGGACTCTGTTCTGTGGAGGAGACTTTTGTGCATCTCTCTCCTGAACGTTATCCTGTCCACATCCCTGGGCACGTATAGATCTGAGCAAAGGAATGGTCTCCCCCAGAGACCAGGAAGAGTTGCTAACAAGAGCAGATGGTAGCTGTTTAGGGAACACCGAGCTCCTTACAGAAGCTGCATTTGAAAAAGACTGAAAGAAAAAGCCAGTCACCTGCACCCCAAGCGAGGAGCGAAGCAGAAGTGCTGGTTTTCTGGGGGGGCACCTTCCCCCTACCCCAGCTTCCAGCCAGCAGCCAGGCTTAGCTACTCACTGATACAGCGTGATATTTGATTTCTGCTGCTGATCTGTGATCTCATCGGGGACCGCAGGCTTGATAATGGAGTGCCGGCCGAGGGTGTCCTGAAGGACCTTCATCAGCTCTGGACTGGCCGCCTCCTTGTCTCCCTCGATCACTCCTATTTCAGCACGGCCCCCTCGCTCCCTGTCCCGAATATGCTTTGCCAGGAGCATAGCCTGTAAAGAAGCCCGAGGACCGGAGGAGCAGCCTGGATCCCAGACACAGGAGTTACCCTGATGCTGAGTCGCAGGCTTGCACACGTGGCCTGTCTCTGAAACAGATGCTGCTCAAAGGCAGGGGTCTGGCTTGAAGGGCAGGAAAGAGCCAGCGAGGAAAGAAGGAAAGGGCAACTGAGGGAGTGCAAGCCCACGAGGCCCCGGTGGGGGGGAGGGGCGGGGGCGGGGGGAGGAGGGAGCAACAAAACAGGCCACACCTTCAGACGCTCCCTGCTGCTGCTCTCTGGGCCATTCCACTGGATGATGACCTTCCCAAGGTCCAGCAGGAAGACATCACCTCGGTTAAAACTGTCCCAGCTCATTTCCACCTGCAGGGGAGAGGTAGACATTATGTAGGAGGAGTTCTTAGGTGCTAGGTGGAGAGGCCCTGGGCCCAGGTCAGACAAGGGGCAGGACTTACCTCGGTGGCCCTGATGTTTCTCTTCCCCTTCACGTGCAGCAGCCGCTTCACATCGTAGGTATTGGTCTCCACGTGCTTCATCCCGGAGGCCACACCCCCCTTCTTGTAGCTGAGGGAACATCCGTTATTTATTGAGCACCTGCTATGTGCTAGGTACTGGGGAGACAGTTGTGGATCACACACATGCAACCTCTGCCCACGTAGATGACGACAGTAAATGAGCCAGGTAAACATAGATGCTGGTCACCACTGCCACAGAGGTGCACTCAGCGTGTTCAGGGCAGTCTTCTCCGAAGGACTGACGTTTGAGCTGGGATATTAAGAGTGGGAACCAACCACCAGAGGACTGTTCTCCAAACAGAGGGTGCATCACTGATGCAGTCCCCAGAGCACAGAAGAACTTGTTTTGTTTCGTTCTAGAAACTGCGTGAATGTCGCGTGTGATGGGAAGAGGGGCACAAGTCAGGCGGGAGCAGAAACATTAATGACACCGTGGCCTTAAAAACCATCTCACTCCAGGAATCCGCTCTCCCGCCCCTGGCCCTCACCCCAGCCCAGCCTCCCCCAGGTGTCCCACACGTGAAGGGCACGCAGAAAGCCACGGGGAGCAGAGGGTTCCCTGGTGACTCAGTGTAGTGCTCTGTGCCCAGTAGGTCCTCAGTGGGGACTGCTGACCTGCAAGAAGCTGGCCTTGGACCAGCCTCAGAACTCTCAAGCTCATTGGAATTCCTTTTTCTTTTCAATCTCAAGTGCAAAGTTTTGAGGTAATCAAGCTCCTCAGTTCGTGGAAGGTTTTCACCATTGGCCTTTATGAGACCCCTCTCTTGTAGTAAGTATTTACGTGTTCCCTTTTATCTGCATACCCTACCTCCCTTTCTCTCCCCGCCATAGGCATCCATTCTAACAGTTTAACATTTGTCTTTTTATTTTCACTCTGGTAAAATGTGGCCTGTTGTTTTGAGTTTATGTAGTTTTTTAAAAACAGAAATTGGCATTCTGTTCTATATTTCAAGCCTGTTTCTACCTGTGCTCCCTAAGCCCCGTGTTTTTAAGGTCTGTCCACATGTCAGATGTGCCTCTAATCTGTTGCTTCCAGCTGTGGCGTTGTACTCCACCGTGTCGCGGAGTGTTTTTCCTGTCCACATTGCCTGCAGCTTCCCACCACCACTAATGTGAACATTCTGGTTCATGTGCCCTTGTGGACCTGGGAATGTAAGCCTTCCTTTTGGTCACACGTCGGGGGTGAGATCTGCCCCAGTGGCAGCAGACTACTCTCCGGAATGCTGGGCCAGTTCTCACTTGCACCAGCAGGGCACCTGTCTCCCCAGAGCTTCGACGACACTTGGCGCCTCTCAGCTCTCTGATTTACGCTGCTCTAGTAGGCGGAAATGATGGCTTTGTTTGGATTTGCATTTCTCTGATGACTTTCTTCATATACATTTTGGCCCTTTTGGTTTCCTCTTTGGTAAACTGCGGTTACGTCCTTGCTCTGTGCATAGCTACTCACATGATGCCCTGCTTGAAGTAGCCGCGGAAGGTGTCGGACTCGTGGCACTGGACCTCCCGGTGCTGCACGGGGCTGCCCCCCAGGTAGTCATCCAGCTGCGTAGTGTAGATGGCTGCGCAGCTCTTCTCATCCTGCGAGGAGTCCTTCCCAATCCAGAAGTGGATGTCCTGGGAGAGGATGCTGCCCACTCTCCGGGTCTGGGATGTAGTCAGAGAGATCAGGTCAGGGGCCAGCTCGCCTCCCCTTCGCTGCTGGCCCTTCTGGCGTGGGAAGAACGTGGCCTACGGTGACTTGTGTCCTGCCCTTGGCAGGCTCGGGGCCTCTCCCTGCCTGCAGTGGCCCGGGTGCAGACCTCCTCCATGGCTCAAGCCCTGGCAGCGCAAATCCCTCCCCACATTTGGGGAATGTTGACAGCTTATTGTTCTCAAAATAAACAGAGACCAATGGGGATCTTTTCCGGGTTGGACTGCAGGCTTTTCTTGCTGCTCTTTCGCACCCCTGCACTTGCACATCTGGCAGAGTGCTGCTGTCCATCTGCATGGCTCTGTCAGTACTTTCCACGTGGGAGATTGTTTCCTCCGCTAGATGAGTACTTGGAGGCCAGAGGTGGCCTTGTATCCACCTGGCCTTCCTTCACAGCACTGGGATCTGGGGTCTGGGTCCCGGAGGGAGAAGTGCTGCTGTAGGCGACTCGCTGAGGTTCAGACTGAGGGCCACACCCATACCCTCTGATGCAAAATTTAAAACCCTGGCCTAAGAAACCCTTTGATAGTCAGGCTGGCCTGTTCTATATAACAGTGAGGAAGAATCAAGATGGATACCAGATTAACCTCACGGGCAGATCTCCCAGTGGGGCCCCAGAGCTGGCTCTCAGGGGAGCAGCTCATGGGAATGGGGGGCATGGTGCTCACCGAGAGGATGATGTAGCAGTCCCCCTCATAGAAGGTGCCGTGGGCATTCAGGGGCACCAGCGCCAGCTCCATTTTCTGGAAGGACAAGGGGTGTGTATAGGCTGAATTCTCTCCCTCCTCCC